TACACACAACGTTTCGTTGAACGAGGTGGATGGACGTGCAAACTCTCGCCTCTCTCGCGCACCGAGGTTATGTGTGTTCTCGGCGCTGGCTACGGCAGAGGAGGAAAGGGGGAGGCCGGCCGATCATGGCGTTCGTCTCACCAACTCACGTGCCGGCCAACCCTCGTCCCAAAGCACAACATATTGAGCTAGCTCCCTCTATACTCATGATGGCCCTTGTCAGGTTAGGTCTAGCCGCCCGACCATGCCCAAGGGACATTGCCGTTGAGTCCCATCCACTACCGCCGACGGGTGTACCACCACCACCCGTGCGAGAATCCCGGGGGCCCCATTCACCAGGGGGGGGGGGGGGGGGGCTACAAACAACACCGTCGCACAGGGAGGACGTCGCCCCCGCCGCTGCCGCCGCCGAAAACACAGCAAGGCCTGGCCAGATACACCAGCCTTACGCCTCTCACCTTGAACACGCCGAGCTGCTGCTGCTGCTGCTGCTGCTGCCGCCGCCGCTCCTGCCGGCTCTGCTGCTCCAACGCCCGGACCTGCTCCTGCACGCGCTCCAGGGTGTCCATCTTTATCGACGAGGGCCGGGGGTCTAACCAGGCCGCTCGGGGTTGCGACGGCACGAACAGCTCGTCGCAGACGGCGCCGCTGGCGCTGATTGCGTTGAAGCCGAAGGCGCCAAGGGTCTTCCGGGCCAGCCCCGCCTGCTCCTGCAGGGGGATGTCTCCCTGTTGGATTCGGTCGGGTCGGGTTAGGGGTGCGGGGTCGACAAAGGTGCGTGTTCCGTGCACACCCGACGAAGGGCACGGGCTTCGCGAACAAGCGCTCGTCGGAAGCGTTCAAGAGATACAGCAGCAATGCAGCAATGCTGGAAGCTCTTGTATCACTCTTGTTGGAGTATTTGTTTCGCGCTTCTTCATGCATCGGTTCGTCGTCGTCCATCATGCAGCTCCTGAACAGCATTTTTTTTTCGCGTGGCGTACATGTGTCTCTTGCTCGGGTTCGGCTACGCCACGGTGCCCCTGCAGAAACACGCAGCCTCCCAAAGGACGGTGTCTCACCGTGAGGCATACGCCAACCATGGGAGCATCTCCTGCGGGAAAGCTCGACACAACCGAAGAGGGATTGCCGGAGCTCAACGCGCACAGCCTGTAGTTTTGAGACAAAAGGGGCGTAACGCAAAAGAAAAAAGAGGTCAAAATGAGGGGCAGATACCAATGCGAGAGAGAGAGAGACAGACAGAGAGACAGAGAGAAAGGGAGAGAGAGGGAGAGAGAGCGCGCGAGAGAGAGAAACAGAGATGCAAAGGGGGGGGGGAGGAAGAGGGAGTGTAGTTCAGCAGTGCGGCTCGATGAACACCCGAAACGCACACGCGAAACTGGAGGAACAGTCCATCCGATCGGAGAAGCCCAAGCACACCGCAAGGGGGACATGAAGAAAGGAAAGTTATCACACTTGAGGGTAGATGGAAAAGAGAAGGAAGGGAGAGGATGGAGAGGCAAACCGACACATCACCGAGAGAGAGTCAGGTAGAGGTGATTATCAGTCGTGGGGCTCCAAGAACACGACAAAACAACAACAAAAAACGACCAAAAATGATGATAGGCGGCGAGAGAAGCCCCAGGTGAAAAATGCACAGACGCCGGGCTCGACCGGCGGTCGTTCCCCCAGGAGACAAAACAACAAAACGTGTGGTGGATGGGGGGGTATGACCAACGGGTTGTAAAGCAAGCAAGACCAAGAAACGGACCCCACCCACACAAATATAAAATCGGCCGACCACCGACCTGGACAAAAAAAACGACACCGAAATCACCAACATCAACACTACCATCACCCCCCCCCCCTCTCTCTCCCTGCTTGCCTGGTGGAGTTCGGGAGCAAATTCCCAAGCCGCTGGTTGGTGTCCTGAAGGTCGGAGGCCGGCACGGACTGGTCGTCCTTGCTCAGCATGAAAAAAAGCGGCTGTTTCTCCTTCGGGAGCTCAAAAATTCGAACGACGCTGTCCTTCCCCAGGATGTTCGGGAAGCACCCCCCTTCGGCGTACACCGGGAGGGCCTCGACGCGTCCCCTTCCCCCCCCGCCTCCCGCCAACTCCTCCCCGTGGAAACCCAGCCCGAGCACCGTGACTATCTTCGGAGATCTGGATTTTGTGTTTCGGGTGTATTAGATGAGGGTGTGCGTGCGGCTTGGTGTGACGGGGGGTTGGCGGCATGTTTCCACACGGCGGCGTCACCGGTGACGAAGTAGTGACACGGTACGTAAAACAATACAGCGACAGCAATAGCAAAAGACAACATCAAAGACAACAACAAAGACAATACCAACACCAACATCAACTCAACGACCGCTGACGACGACGACGACATTCCACGATGCAAAGCAACAACATCAACAAGCATTTCTCGCGCACAACACGCGCCCTTTACGCGCTCTTGCGGACAGCACCTGAAAGACTCGGAAGATTCTTGCGAGGGCTCGTCTGATGAAGACAGCGCCGTCGCCGATGACGCCGGCGATGACCAAGGGGTCAACTTGTGCCCTGGCTTCCCCGAGGGCGAAGACGAGGCCAGCGCCAAGCGGCGGGCCGACTGCTGCTGCTTCAGCCGCCTCTTCTGCTGCTCGTAAGGGCTCTCCCCCAGCCCGCACCCGATCACGGGCGGGGCTTGTGGCCGCCTGTTCGGGGGGGGGGGGGGGACGCCGACCCACGGTAGTGAGCAGTTAAAGTGGGAGGAGACTTGTGGAGATGATGAATACCTCGACTCACAAAATTGTTGATACCCACTTCCTCTCCCCCCCCCCGCGCTGAGAAATCGTCGCCGCCGATCCTTCTCATCCGGGGCAGAGGAAGAGCGCCCACCCAGCCAGCATTTGAAGCCGGGGCCCTCTCCCTGAGATGAGAGTAGGATGTCGAGCACACCCGCCCGCCAGAGTCCGTCGCGACGTCGGAGCAAGAACGGTCCGCCTCTACACCTCAATTCGATTGTAGTCATGTCCCAACCCATCTGCACACGCCTCCTACCGTTCAGCGAAGGAGTTCAGCGCGCCCTGCACCCCGGCGTGATCGTGCCCCTCGAAAAAGACCACGGCGAACGCACTCGAGGGCGCGGTATCGGGGCCCAGGACTCGCTCCAAGCAATCGTCGACGGCAGTCTGCGGACGTTTGACGCGACGCGGCGGCGCAACCGTGCAGCATCAGCAGTCAACACGGCGGTGTGGTTGACCTCGGGCACAATGTGCAATGTGCACCACTTTCGACACGGACTGTAAGGGGGACCAGTCGATAGCCCCATTTAGCAGCGAGCCTCTCGGTCGGGACATAAGGGAGAGGTCGGGGTGGTGTTCGTGTTTGGTTTGAGTAGGGAACGGGGGGCGCGGGGGCGGCGGATGTTCAAAGTAGGGGGGTTGCCACCAGTCGGGAGGAGATGTGTGCCGTTGTTCAACGCAAGGGGACAGGAGGAGTAATCTTATGGCGCCGTCATTGCAGATCTTTCAGACCTGTGTGCTGTCAAGCGTGCCGTATCATGGGAATAAAGGGATACAAAGAGGAGGGCACGTGGCGTGTTGGGGCTATGGTAGTTCAAGCCGACGAGCAGGCCCCCAGAAGTGCGCGGTTGACGCAAAACCACAAGCATCGTATGTATCAAAACCAAACGCCAACCTATCCGAGATCACGGCGCGGGTTCAGCAGTAGGGCTGCTGGACAGTATACAGCGTACAACACCTGTGCTATGTACATACAAGAGTTCCACAGTATCTCTGTACTGGACAACAGTACTTGTAGTAGCACTCATTCGACAAAATATCGTGGGGGTGGACGTGGGACGTATTATTTCGACTTTGGCCGACGTACCCACGGGGTGGGGGGGTCCTGATCAGGGTGAAGCGAAACAACGGGCACTTTGCTGCGAAAATGAGCAGGCTACTACTGTATCCCTTACCATAGTGCACAACCAGCCAACCTTTTCTGGGCCAGAACCGGTCTATGAATGCGTATGTACCTATCTAGCATACATTCAACGAACAGCAGCTGCTGGATTTCATCCGAGCGGAGATTATCCCGGTGGGGAGTTCGGGACTCTTCGTACAACACAACGGCGCCTTTGAAACTTTCCCCCCTTGGACCAGAGTACAGCAGTGAGGTCTCCGCGAGGCGCCGCTTGGTCGGAATGCGGAATGGGGAGAGGGCGCTGCAGAGGAATCGACTGCCCGAACCAACGCTCGACGCTCGACCAATCAGAGAGCGTAAAAGCCCTCAGACGGAAAGAATAAGAATCACCAACAGACTGTAAAACTCCTAAACTACTGCGCAATAACTACTGACAGCAGTTGCAAGATCTCTCGTGTCTGGCTCGTGCAAAATAACAGATCTCGCACGCACCGCGCTGGGACGAACACTGGCATTGGAGTCGCCTACGCATATCATGTTGTCTCGGTGCCAATAGGTTGTGGGTACATGTTCGGCTGACTCGCTGACTCTTTTCTTCACGTGGAAGCAAGCCTTGAAAATACGCCGCGAAGTGCCAAACCCCGAAATCATCATTGATTTCCTCTCTGCTCCATCACATTATCATGATTTGGGCATCGAAAATCCGCTATTAATAGTTCCACTCTGATCAGCAGATAAGGGAACAGGAGATCCAACCCTCAGCACATGCAAATATGTGAAGACTCAGCAGCAAGTACAACATACCGCCAGATTTCAAGAACTTGTGTAGGATGCATACCTCCGTCTGTGTCGTAGCGTTGACAGCTGCCACAACACGGAGGCCCCGCACGGGATTGGCTTGCAAGTCATGAGTCCTTCCCGACCGCCTCCATGATGCTACTGTTGGCGTCAATCTTCTCAGCATCTTGTTGTCGAGGAGACGGCGAGGAGAGACAGACCACAGCAGAGCAGCGAGGAGACGCAACAGAGCACCACGCACAGCAACGCTTGCGAGCTTTCGAGATGTGTCAAAAATCGGGGGGCACGCGATTGGATTTGGGAGTCTGTACTGCCTTTCGCTCGCTTCCGCGGGGTGTTGTTCCAACAGTCCTGTGTTCTGTGTTGCCTTGCTCTCTGCTCTCTGCTCTCTGCTCTTTTGCCCTTATGGGTCGCACCGACTTGTTCGCCGTTCCCACTCTTCCGTGTTCGCGCCCCAGAATGCGAAGCAGAGCAGCAGCGGCCGTCACTAGCCCTGCTGCCACGCCAAATACAAGTCGCCGCTGCCAGCATTGTGGTTCCTCCTTGCTGTTCATCCAGCGTGTGTTTCAGACTCATCATCGTAAACCGCCGACTGCAACAGCAACATCGAACAGTAACCCCGGCAACAAGACTGAGATGACTATGCTGCCTGGGCGACCCATGGTCGCCAAGTGCGCCTACATCTCCTTCTGCGCCTGCTTCGGAACGCTCGCGCGGCTCTACACGGACGACATCGGCCCGGCCTCCAACGTCGCCCTCCAGGGCTCCTTCCTTGCGAACTCGATCGGCAGTTTCGCTCTCGGCGCCCTGGCCTCCTCCCCCGACAGAGAAACCATCCCCGACGCCATGTACGCAGGCCTGACCGTGGTACGTGGAAGCCTTGCTGAGTATGTTCGGGATGTATTGGTTGTCTTTGAATATTTAGATTGAAAACGGGAAAGCGCTCGCGTAGGCAGCGCTGCGCTGCGCAAATGTGTTCTTGCGCGCGCGCATGCATTTATAGCCGGCAGCCACGGGCGGGTAATGTTGTCTCCAAATTACCGCATAGGCATGGGAACGTCTTGACCGTCCGTAGACCGATGGAAGTTCACTTAAACACACAATCGCTACTTGCGTGTGCCGTTCGTTTTCTTTGAACAGGGCTTTTGTGGGAGCTATACCACCTACTCCGGCTGGAATCTGAGGATCGCGCGAGCGGCGTTGGGACAAGTCTCGGGGGCACCCTCGGGCGCTATCGTCACCATCGTTTCCATGGCAACCTCTCTAGCGTTCTTCGCGGCGTGCTTCTCGGCTGGTTGTGACGTGATGAAGCAGATCGCGAGCCACGGCCGGAGGCTGAACATCCGAAGAATGCTGGGTGGAGGTGCCCTTGCCGGGGGTGACAGCGATGCGGTGCGCAACACGCTCGGGATGCTCGGCGCCGTGTATGTTCTCTTAGCCGTACTACTGGGGGTGGATAACAACTGGTCGAGGCGGATCGACTGGCTGGCGTGCATTTTCGCTCCCTTCGGCGCGCTCTCCAGGTTTTTCCTGTCCAGGTGAGGGCGTGCGGTATGCCGCCGCTGCGGGCAAGCCATTAGGTACACAATGCGTCCCGCCCAACGTGCGGTTGTCGAAGCTCTTGGTTTCATGTCTCACGTGTGTACCGCTGTCTGTCTGTCTGTCTGTCTCTGTTCCCCCCTCTCTACGGATTCTCAACGCAGTTTAGATTCAGTGAAAAAAAAGAAGTTAAGCTTTGGCAAACCCGGGTTTTCTTTTCGTGCCCGGCGATGTCCTTGCAACAAACACAAATACGCTTTTTTTTGTCGTTTTTGTGCCAGCTCGCACGGACGGACATCTTGTCATCGTTCAGCTAAATTATGCGGTCGATAGGAATTGTGACGTATTCACACAACGGGGGGGGTGTCAATTACAGGGTGCTCGTGAAAGCACATCAGCACCCTTCTTGGTTTTGGCAACCTTCGTGGTTTTGGGTTCACTCTGCATCACGAAACTAGGCTCCTTGGCCAACTCATCTTCCCTGCACCCTTCCCAACGAGGAATCTGTTTCAGTTCTGCCTCGGTGACTAAAAAAAAACAGCCGACTAGTACGATATTGCACACGCTTCTCCAAGCCGCACTTCTGGGCTCGCTCGCGACCCAATACCCTTGCCGGTAGGCCTCCCTCCATACCACAAGCGCCGGAAGTCCAACTCAGCCCCAATGGTGAAGACCACCGTTCGAACCACAAAACAAAACATTACCCAAAACCGAGATGCGGTGCTACTCTATTGAAACACAATTAGGACACGCCCTGACACGCAGGCAGCTAAACAGCCGATTACGAGGCGGAGCGTTCCCCTTGGGTACCTTCACCGCCAATGTGTTGGGCTCCTTGGTGATGGCTCTCTCATTCTACGGCACGAAGAACTCCTCGTCGCTCACAAGCGGTTGGAGCAATGTCGCCATCAAGGCGTTCCAGGTACGTGTGTTGGTGGACTGGTCGTGCTTGGGGTATCGTAATTTGGTGTGTGATCTTTGTGGGTAGGTGGAATGTGGTGCACGGCTGTACTGTAGGCTGAAATTATGCTACACGCGCGCTCGCTGGAAGGCGCATAGCACTAATAAAATAATGTTTTTATGTTGTGTCGCAATGCAACTGCTTGATTGCTGCGTATTTGTTAGAGGGGGATGCTTTGTGTGTCGCCAGCAAGAAATCTGCAAACGGCGAAATAAGTTTAGTCGGCGTACAACAGTACATAGCTTCACCACGAGTTGTGGTAGTATGTGGTTCCGCTAGAACAGGTTTTGCTACTTTTGCACGTTTTGGCCTATATCACGACTTTTAAACAGAACCATGGCCTCGTTCACTTTCCCCCCAATCGATCCATTTTGTTCTCACGCCGGCGTACGTTCAACTTGCAATACAGACGGGATTCCTTGGCAGCCTTACCACCATGTCTACCTTTATGTCGGAAGTCGTCGGCCACCGCGACCGGCACACCCCATCGGCGAGCTACATCTACCTAGCGGCCACGGCGATCGCCGCACAGGCGCTGGTTCTCATCGTCGGAGCCATGCTCAAGTAGGAAACTGGCAATGCGCTTATCTGGCCCGTCGCCAGGACAATGGAAAGGGGTGAGAACATGCCCCCATCCCGCCTGACGGGGATTCACGCCACTGCGAGAGGTTGGGCATCGCCTTCTAGAGGCGTGCGCTCCCTCGTGGGCAACGGCGCGATGGAAATTCGGAGAACTGCTAGTGGCGGGACGATTGACTGCGGGAGGCAACAACCAGGAGAAGAGTGTCCGTCGTGTGGCCTTTCTCACCCCCCACCTCAAGGGGCATGCGGCGCTGCGATGGAGTGCTTTTTCGACAGGACATGTCGTCGGAGAACCCTTCAGATGAGGGGAGCTCGAAAGAATGCCATGGTCGCGCTTGAGGTGCGCCCGGACAGCACCCCGCCCAAATGGTATGCTGCGTTCCCACCAGTCGCCCCACAGTGTGCCGGGATTGGCGTAATTCTCCCCAAACAACGTTGGCAAGAAGCGAAGGAACTGTGGGCTTGGAACTTCCTTCGCTCGAAGCTCCGACACGGAACAGCCTGACGTCGAGGTTTCGCACCCTGCGGGGCCAGTAGTCGAACGACACTCGGCTTGTGAATTCGGCAAAAAACAGTATTGGACCCCTGTGAAAGTATTTTGTGATACAAGTAGTTTGCTCCTTCAACGTTTTGGGTCCGTATAAGTTTGCGCGGTGCATCAGTCGGACTTGTTGTTATAACCTGGCACGCCAGGGTTCCTTAGGTTTTTGTTAGCCCCCCTGTATATTGAGCGCAGTCTTCGACGAGCGGTATGTCATAGTTCAGGGGCATCGTGGCATCTAGCAGCGGTGTGAAAGTGTGAAATGAAATACGAAGTACGAAGTGTTATTTACCGGTTGTTGTAGATATCTACGTGATATTATAGTGGCTGTGGCCAAATTGACAGGTTAGGGTAACATTATGCAGTAGTTGTAGTTCGAAGAAAAATCTGCAGGCACCGCGCTGCTCCACAGTACGCGTAAATCGCAAGTAGCGTTGGGACTAGATTCATTGGGATGCTTGGGAACTTGGACATTCATCCTTACTACCGAACCTCGAGGTGCTACCACACGCACAGGGAAACCAGTCAACGTCGTGTGGCTTTAGGATAGGGACAACTGTTTGGCCAGTTGAGCGTTCCTCCAAAACCACCACATCGCTGTGTTTCCTCCCCTTTCCTCTCCTTGTTGGTCTGCATTCGTTCTGATTTTCGTCTCTTTCGCATCGCTGAACCTCGCATTCTTTGCTGCTTCTGCGAGCGATTCCGCTCTGCACACATCACAGTGAAGAAGGCAGCTCCGCTAGCGCCTTCGCGAGGCCCTCATCCATGTTGCCAAACATCCCAAGGCCCCCGTCTCGAGGAACGCCGCACAAGAATGCTTCCACTCTCAACCGCTCTCGAGTCTCGGGATCCGCGTGACATCCCGAAGCCTTCGTGATTTTTTTCCGAACAACGCCATTGGGAAGCACGAAACCGCACTGTTGTTTTTCGCGCATACTCTTCGTTGGTTGGAACCTCCTTCGGTGTACGCTCTCATGGCTTGAAACTACGATGGAATTCAGCCTACATAGAACAAGAACAACACATTGCCTGGTACGCATGTTCCCCCAAACTCCCGCAACCAAGTGAGTGAAAGTCAACTTCAGTGCAGCAATGGCCGATTCAATATGCAAGGTGGGCATTCTTTCACAAATATGCAGCTGTCTGAAGCTCGGGAAACGTGAGCACGGGGTTGGTTGAGAATCTCTTTATTTACGACGGTGGTTGCCCTACGTTGCATATTAGGTACGCCCCCACCGCGGGTAGATGGTGCGTTTCTGATCATGGGCACTGAGGGACTTCACATTTTGTTTTTCCATATAACTAGACAGCCTCGCCGACCATCCCGGGTCTTCGGCGACCAGGCAACCGGGGTGCGGGGTGACCAAGACAGAATAGTGTAGACTATGGATCGACTCTCATACAACTTTCACACATAGTCCCACCTCGTCAGAGCAGTACTCTACCGTGAAGTGACCATCGTCCGGAACCCCGCCATAACCATCGCCACCACCACCCTGCGTACCCGGCCAAGTCTGAGGCACTTCCCACCCGGGGATGAAGAAGTGTCTCGCGGCATCGGCGTGGCGGCTGTATCCATAAGTGCAAACAAAGGGGGAAGCGAGCTGAAGATCACTCGACCTGCTGTATGAACATACGTCCAGCAAGTTTATTTTTTACAAACGTGACCATATTTCATCGTATATGTGTACCGACATAACACACGAAAAAGCAGGAGACACCGATCACCGGTTTGCCTTAGTAGCAGCTTCTGCGTTGCGTTATATGGGAACGACACCCCTGTTCCCCACGTTTATTGGGCATCTCATCCATGCATGCGCACAACAAAGCACGCAGCGACCAGGTTCACTGCCTGCCAGCCTGCTTTCCTGCCTGACTGACCTGAACCGCTGGTTTTGGAGGTTAGACCCGGGCTCGACCACTGCCATTTCGGACAAGACTCTTGCTATCCGTCGGTGGTCGTTGAGTCGAAGGTCAAGGTCGAGCGGCCTATGTACCAATGACGACATGTAATTGGACCAGCGAGCGGGCCGGCGGATGCACGGTACGACGAACAAAGTGGAAGCGAACAGGGAAAGAGGAAATTGTTTGAAGGTTCTAATGTTTTCTCACTGTCTATTCACATAGATCGGCCCCCCTGACGGGGGGAACAATGATCATTACAATGAAAGCCTCAGCCAAGATGCTGGTTTCCATCATGAGCAAGACCGTGGCTAATGAAATGCACGACGCGTACCTCTCCTAGAACACCCATGGTGATGAAGCTATTTTGGTACAACTCGCGCCCGGCATCGGCATTACCCTTCGGAATACCCGTTTCGTTCATTCACGTTGATACGAAGCCCCTTCTACACATTGGCGTGGTTCAGCGTCGGTCGCCGAGCGCACCACACAGGCTGCAGACACCTCCCGCCCCTTACCTGTCGATATCATGCGGGTTGAGGGCATTGAGCCACCCCAATCGCCTCCCGGCCGAAAGCTGCGCATCCCGGCCGAGCGTGGCAAGAACGGTGCAAAATTTGTCAATGTCTGTGACGCGGCCGAACAGTTCCACCACCAAGTCTTCCCTGGGGTTTCCGGTCGTACCCTTTGCTCGCTCGGGGAAGACGCCTGCCAGGACACGTGCCTGCGATAGTCCCGGCCGAGCGCGGACAAGGCAGATTCGGAGAGCGTGTGACGGGGGGATGCTGGGAGGCCTTAGGGTTGTGTGAAAACAACCCGGCCAGTTCCTTAATCTAGCGAGGCCGGCGATCAGAGAGGAGTGGACGAACACAGAAGACGGTTTTAGCACTATCCGGCGGAATATACCGCGATCCGGGGGGGAAAAATACATAGGTAGACGTGAACGTTAGGTTCCACAATCGAGATCCTTTGCATTGTCCGTTTGTTTCGTACCTGGGCGCATGAGAGCCACGCACTAGCAAGGCGGAAGCGCACGTTCCTGGCAACGGCTGCCCATTCCGCATCCCTTGGGGCGACGGCCGTGTGCGGGCCTGCCTCTCCTTCGTCCGAGGCCACCCACACGAACTCGAAGCTCGGAGGCTCTGGCGATTCGCCGCCCTCCCCATCGCTGAAGCTCATCTTGGCATCGCTGTCATCGTTTTCTGCTGACAATGAAACACCGCCGCGGACGTCGCCGAGGCCGCTCCCCTCTCCCCTAATGTCTTCGGAGACCTGACCCAGCTCTCGCCTCGGCGGCTGCGTCCCCCTAGCACTAGAAGTAGTGCTTTTCTCCAGAGCAGAAGAAGCGTCCCGACTGATCACACCGATGCTGCCCACGCCCTCCTGGTTTGGAATGCGCACGCCGAAGTCGTGGTCCGGCAGCTTGTCCACGTATGCATCAAAAATGTGCTCGATAGTCTTCTTCTGGATCGACGGCGCGTCCGGGCACAGGGGGGACCCCTGACAATTGGAACTCTGTCGCACCCACGCAGGCGAACAGAAGGAACAGATACTATCGTGGTTCGGGAGGGGTTTAACGTAGGGATGATGGCTTGGGGGAATGCGATGGGGAGAAAAGCAACTACTTTGCCCAGACACGAAAAGACAAGTACAACCTCACCCTGGTTTCGAGCGTCTCCCTCTTCACGAGCCAGACATCTGCCTCCGTAGACAAGAAAGTATCAAAGACATTGAGCACCAAAGATGTCGCGACGCGTTTCGGGTCCTGGCCAGGGCGTGTACCTCTCGTCTGGCAGAATGTTGCCATGTTGGGGATGACGAAGGTGTGGGTGCAGATCGGTTCATCCATGCATTTTGATGAAATTGTATGAAAAATAGGGGGACCTTCGGGGCCACCGGTGCGCCTGTCGCCAGCTCGTTTCCAATGTCGGGAGTTACGGGTGGGAGACTACACGGGAACAGGCCAATATCCCTCTGCCCCGCTGTTAAAATGTTTTGATTGCTTGGTGTAGGTGTGCCAGAACTGATGTAGGGGCGCTCGTATGCTCTTCCAAGACGCTTACGTGCTTCCATAGTGCGCTCTTCACACGTGGTCCGGGTCCAAGAGATCTTCTCGTTTTGCTCGATGTATTTGAAACCCAACTAACAACGTACTCGCATTTGTGTTGTTCCGAAAGGGATTACACAGAACGCCCCCTCACCCACCTTGACGAGACGCCCTACGAAGCCTCGGCTGAGCCAGGCGGTAGAATCTTTGCGCGAGGAAGCGTACACCGATGAACGCCTCTCAAGGGTCTTGTCTTCCGTCCCGTGGCACACTCTCACCTGATTCGGTTTTAAACAAAGTTGTCGCGCTCTACAACAGATGGAAATAACAGTTTCTCGTCGAAACTTGATTGCATGGTCAAACGCTCCTTATCTACTCGGCCTCGACTCACCCGAACCATGTGAGCAATCAAGAGAGGAGGAGAGCCATCCATCAGCGAGCAGTCTTTCGCAAGGAGGTGCCTCCACAGCGCCGACAGTTTTCCCTCAGCCCATCTGACAAGAGTCCGTTCATTTATTTATTGAATCAGTTGTTTGTGTTGCAGATTTGTGGCGCTGTTCACTTGTGCCAATACTTGCGAAATGAACCAGTGTTCAACACCCGTCCTATTGACTCACACTTGGTCTTGCGGGCTTGGAGAACATGCTTCTGATGAGGTTGCATGAACCCCGTTCTACAATCCCACTCTGCTTGTTTCTAACAGCATGCCCGCGAACCGGCCGGGCGCATTCCTCCCATGCCGTCCCCGATTCTCACCCTTTCCATGGCACACCACCGCGAGTGAGAGCTTCTTGCAGCGAGCCTTCTCCGAGGGAAACCTTCGCCACGAATGGGGGGGCGTTGGCCAGACCGGCCCCGGCATACCTGGCCGCCTTCTTTAGTCGCTGCCTTATTTTTTTGGAGAGGATCGCACGCAATTAGCACCGCGGGCAGACAGCTCAAGCTTCTGCAGGAAACGCTCGTCGCGTGGAAAAACACAGCACGACATCGTCTCCTCAATTACTTCTATTGGTCGGAAGTAGACATCTTGATGACTACCTCGCCAAGGCCGCAGGGGGCGTCCTAGTTTAAGAGTGAATGCTGCCAACATGACGCATGATCGGATTGTCGTGCCTATCGTAGGTCATACTATATGATAACACACCCTTGGGCCTGATTTCAAAGCTCAACTACTCCACGACATAGGGGATTCCACAATGGAAATAATTGGTTCCGGAAAGCTCTCGACGCGACGGTTCCAATGCCACCACCTTCAGCACCGTCATTATGTTGCTGCAGAGTTTATCGAGCTTTGGAAATCAGTCCAGGGGGTGTGGCATCTTTTGCGACCTACGGCAAGTGCCTGCCTAGCACGATTATTAAGAACACTCGAGCAGTCCAGCCATCAACAGGAGACAGTCATGAGGTAGATAACACGCAGGTACGTTGCCACTAGTTCAGTATCCGAATCAAGTCAGTGTCCTCTACTCCCGCTCCCTCAGGCCGCCCCGTTCCTCTAATTTCATCCTTCGACAGTCAGCATGAAAATCCGGACAACGGTCCTGTCGACGCCGTGACTGTCAGTGCACTGCCTGTAGATACGAGTGATGCGATCCGTAGCGTACCTTGCCAGCTGGGCGGCCAAGCTCCGCCTCCGCGCTGCCGCCGGCGATTCGCCTGCTGACGCATCCCCTTTGCTTCCCCCTCTTCCGGCCATAGTCCCTGCTCCATCGGGAGCGTTCGCGGTAGCGCTAATGCTGCTGCCTCGGTGTTTGGCGGTTGCAAGGGATACTCTTGTTTGTGCGGGCTGTTCTTGCGAACCACCGGTCGCGCAGATGCGAGCGAATGAAGCCCGGGGAATCACAGATGATTGCCGCGGAGATGAAAACGGCGATGGCAACGCCGTGCTCCTGTCGCCGTCGCTATTCGACTCGCAGTCCGACGAAGATATTTGCGCGAGTCTGCTAGCCTCGACCTCCATGTTGTATGCAGCGTTAGCGGCCGATATGCGGAGCTTTTCACTGGTGTCTGACGACTTCATTCCGTGTTTTCCGAGAGCATTTGGTGACGGAGGAAATATGCAGGGAAACGGGGGGTGGGTTGGCTGCGTTCGGCGAATGGGCTCTTCCTACTTCTTGAAGTGATTTTTGATAAGGCAGAGCAAAGGCTTCGGGCAGCAATAACAGGTAGCGCACCCGAAGCATTACACTCTACGACTGCAACAGCGTTAGGGCTACGTTCCGGGGGAGGGGCGTGGTGGGGAGACACGCAGAAGAGGTGTTGAGTCTGTGAGTACTGCCATGACTAACCCCACCCCCTTCTTTCCTCCCTCTGGACTGAGGAAATGCACCGGCGAGCTAGAAACGGTAGCTGAACAGGGCATTCCCGGTGTGAGGGTTTCCGGCCTGAAGTGCGACATTAGTATCTACGTAGAACGCTGTGAAGCTGCCACGTGTTCGTCGGCAGATTCAGGTCCGCTGCTGGGGCTGTTGTCTTGGAGGCGAGATCTATTCTGAGCAGGTCCGTATCTGAGCCAACGTTCAGACTCAATCCAAAGGTTTTCACTCTTCCACTCGCCGCCACTGTCCCCAAGCTTTGGTTCTAAGGAAGCCGTATCACCAAGTAGTGGGTATTGATGCAGTCTGGGGGAAGAAAGCCCGCATCGGCGAGTGTGGAAGTGAAGAAACGTTTGGTGTGAGCCTAGATTCCAGTTTACAAGCGAGCATTCTAACGCATTAGTTTTTCAATCGAAATCACAGCCCCCCCACAAGAAAAAGTAGCGGTATTTTTCTTCGATAGACCCTCAACTCGCACCAGTTTCAAACGGACGGCGTCCCCCAACGATAGCCCGTGCACCGCATTCACGATACATTCATGATCGTTGTTATCGTCACTGTTGCCCCCGCCTCCCCTCTGCTGCTCCTGCTGCGAAACACGGGAAGGACGAGGCACCAAGCGAGCGAGGCCGCACTCGGTGACAAACCTTTGTGGGTTTCAGGAATGAAAGACAGCAGGGAGGCGAAGGAGTGCGGGGAAGAGAAACGAGGTGGAGGAGGCGCGTCGGGTATGGCTGATACGAGTGCCTCACGCGGCCTGCAGCTTTACCGTTCCGCACGGCGGATGTATTGCTTGAACGTATGTACGGCTACCTCGGAGAGTCCTTGCCCATCGCTGAGGGCACATATTTGGAGAGATCGCAAGTATCTACTATTGTTAGTTTTCATGGGGCTCGCGTGGGCCTGGTTCTACCATCCTTCCCTTGCCACCCCAAACGTAATTGTTCGGGTCTACGTCGCCACACAGGATTTCGGAAAGGAACTGAAAGCAATAGCCTCAAAAAGGCTACGAACTTATGACGGTGGTATTCTGTGCCTACAGCGCATCTTACCGATCAAACTGTGCAGGTCCTAGTGGCAGGGTGTCGAAGGGAGGCCTGGCGATTGAAACAAAGTCAAACTCGAGGACTCCGGGCACACGATCGGTTAGGCCTAGTTTGAAGAATCCTTCTGTGAGGCCTCTTTCGCGGCCGGAACGCCGAGGAAAGGAGACAGACAATGCATGCGGAACCCAGGTAAGAGTTTCTTCGGTAGTAGAATGGGTTTGTCGAGTAAGTGTCGTGGACCGACAGTGGCTCGGAGAGGGGGCGAGAGGGCTGCACAACCAACAAATTGGAGAATCGCCGACGGCGGGCGGTGCTCCCACCTCAGTCTTGCTCTACACCCAGGACTTTTTCTTTTGGATTCTAGTCATCCTGAGCTGCCGTCGAACCTTTTGGAACATGTTTGGCGCACCAGACGAGGGTGGCACAAGAGGAAGACCACCTTTCCCTTTCCTCTGTCAGTGCTTACATTCGATTGTTGGCGCGAGAAGGGTTCAGCAGTCGCTTCCCTCATTGGTGGGCGTACCCGTAACTACGCGCGTTTCACTACGACGTTGCGAGTTTTCTTCTCTCCGGACAGCGTCGAACCCGCAACCTAGGGCTTGGCCGATTACGTGGTTTCCAGCCAGATCATTCAACCACAAGTGTGCGATCGAAATACAGCGAAAATCGAGGAACACGGGCCGGCAGGTGTGCCTCGTGTACCTGGTGAAGGGTCGCTTGCGATAACGCTCGTTTCTGAAGCTACTCCATCTCCCTTTCTGTGAGGTACCACCCGATTCAGCCGTCCAGCCACTCAGCGCCCTTAGGGTTTAAGAATATTTGTTGGAAGAACAGGACAGGGGGCAGGGATGAGGAAAACGATGGAAGGATTATTTGTACTCGTTCCGTCATCCGGCGTATCCCTCAAATATTGTCGCTCGATACGAAGTACTTTGAAGTATTTGAGGAATTGGGGGCCAGGGTGGAGGTCTCATCAACCGAGTAGAGCAATGCAGATCCACACCAGAACGACCATCGACGAACGTCCCCTGAAACAACGTATCCTCGAGTGAGGCTGTCGGCACCAAGACCAAACAATGAAGTTTCACTACCATACGTCTATTTTTGAACGACATGGCAAGCCGCGCACCTCAGGCACATCTGGTCAAGATGCCCCCACTCCGAAAGTCTCATCGCCGCTTCTCTGTCCAGCTCCCTGCTCAGATCTAAGCTGTAGTGCCCGCCGACACAATCGGTGAAAGCGGCAAATGCGTGCCCAAAGATTCGCTGAAGAACGACATACGACGGGAAAGAAGGCGATATTGAGTCATGCTCCTCGCCACCCTCCGCACCGGTGCCCAGCACTTCCCTTCAGCATACCGTATATGACACAAGATAACACACCCCCTGGGCCGATTTTCAAAGCTCGATTTCTCAACAGCAGGAAGAGTCACAGCGCCGAAAATGGCGGCGTTGGAACCGTCTCGTCGAGAGGTTTTCGAAAATGTATTGTTTCGTTTATGCATCCTCTTCGTCGTGGAGTAATCGAGCTTTGAAAATCGGTCCAGGGGGTGTGTTATCTTTTGTCACATACGGTACGCGCTTACTCCGGGCACGTTTTGAACGTATTCCCCACCGAGATATATTGTCCGCAACCCCTAGGAATGATATCCTGCAGATGGTTACCCTCTTCTGAGAATTGTATCTTCCACTGCGGTGCCCAAAGACCACTGGCGTACATGGGAACACACAACCCAAACCAGGATCGGCCTATTCCTCTGTCACTGAAGTCAGGGCCACGAGCGAAAGCAGTCAATGAATACACGGGTTTCTCAACCACAAAGACTGCCCACCAACGAGCGATTCGCTTACAAACCCCTAGCCTTCGTTGTCAATCACCAAATCCACCCGCATCCGCACGAAACTACAACTACGAGTGCGTAGGATCGCGTTTGGCTTTGTGATAATTGTGAAGACACAGCTACTGCACCTGAACGAGATTGATTTGCTTGGGCTCGAGATGCATCTCCAGCAAGCCTTGAAGGCATCTAGAGTTCTGCAGCCTCGGTATTAAAGCCACAAGCAGGTCCTGCACCTGCTCAGCGTCAGTGGGCATGAGATACTGTTGGGCCGACGAACGGATGACAGGCATGTGCATGGCTGGAAAATAAACCACAGGCTGTGTGTGGGCGCCTGTAAGTGAATGCGTGTTCCTTCGTGTCGAAACGAATGACATGCTGGCGTATGTTTTATTTTATTTTTCGTAAACAGCCAAATGCCAAGTTACCAATACCCTGGCCTTTTTGGACGGTTCGATAGTTTGTTTTTTTTCACCTCTTTTCACGTTGTAGATAATAGGTGTTTTCCATTAGATCTCGTGGATTCTTGTTTGGTTTTCTCCTCGTTCTTCTCTACAATTCTTGTTTTCGGAGTAGAATCGACAAGCTGGCAGCTTGTCGTCTATTATTCGCCTCGTTTCGACATCGCCCAGGAGGTTCATTTTGATGAGCATGGAAATCGCACACGTGGTCAACTATCGAATACAGCAGAGGTTGAAGGTGTAGTCAACATGCTGGTTGCAATTTCTATGACCATTGCTTCCTGATAATGAGCCCAGAACAAGAAATGACGGATGTTATCGAAACATTGAACGATAGCAGCGGCACGGACAAGTGCGAACACATTTCAAGTGAGAGAGTTGATTGAGTGGGTTTGGCAGTGCAACTGGACGACTGAGACAGTGAACTTGGAGGTATGAATTGTTGGGGCTTATACACAAACCACGTTGGTCGAGGTCAACTTGGGTGGTATGGTACGTGACTAACGTCGCGGTTATTCCTCTTCATTGTGGCTGCTACCAACAACAATAGGTATCGCTCCTCATCATGGACAGGCGCTACCATCGTTATGAGCGCGATGAGCCCTACCGCGAATTACTTCATCTCCAACGTCTGACACTAAATGCCAAAACGTGCCAAGGCGCCACCAAGAAAATTTCGAACCCGCACAGTATCACTGCCTACTTATCACCCCTCCAAGAAAAATAAGACACCCACCTGTAGCGAGTTTAGCTTCTTGCTGCAGCTGCGGATGACCTCGTTTACCTGCCGGAGGCGCGGTCGTCCGACATGAAAGGGGGGGAGGGGCTGCTGGAGCGGTGGCACGAGTCCTTTTAACACAAGAAACGGAGAGTTTCTTCCTTTTCTTACCGCCGTACCATATCTATCCAAGGAAGTACAGGGTTGTCAACCAGGTTCAGGACAGAATTCAGGAACCTATTTGAGTATTCAAACGTAGGCCATAGAATGACAATCTCAAACACCCGGGTTTTCCCTGAAAATCACGAAGTACACCACAGCCTGAATGTTGTGTCTGCGTGGTTTCAATCGTATATCCCCCACCATAGTTTTTCACCTGTTGAGTCGAAAAGAAGAGATCCTTTGACGCCATCTTGAGGTAAAGCAGGGGTTGGTCTCGGCACTGCTCGTCTCCCTCCGCTAGGGCTTGGAGGTGCCGCATGCCGCTCGAGTTGATCAGGGCCCAGCCGGTGGGCGGTAGGGAATGACACAGGAAATCCACCTCTAGATATCCCTGTGTCATCGTTTGTGGTCATGGTTGTGTTCAACACGGAACGTCGGGCAACGATCTTGTGTTGCCAACGGACACCAAAATTGGGGATTTCTGTTGTTCTGGTCGGTTCTCGATCGAACAAATTCCCTCCCCCAAAATGTCTCCTTCGAGACTGCCCCCCTTTCCCGCAATCAAATGAGACATGCTGTTTCGTATATTAAGTGGTACTATATATTCAGTGAAACATTTTTAGGAAATGATATGACTTAGAGTTGATCTGAGGGGATCGTCTAAGATGGACCAACTAGAATTGCGTGCGAGCTCTGGTCGAGTGCCAGCAAAGATGGCCGAGACGGAGCTATGCCGAATTGTTCGTCCCGCGCTGCAAAGATGTATTCTGTCAGCGAAAACGAAGGACGGATGAGTCGAGTCTATTCTCAACCCTCTTGCTCATGACATGTCGACGATTTTGGTCGATGGGATCAATACCCCGGTGACACACAATGCAGCCTCTTAACCATTATTTTCTCTATGGGGTCGTAGGGAGGAGGTAGATAAGAATGCGTGCAGCGTTGTGCACCTCCGATCGACGAAGCAACACGTTGAGAATGCGGGTGCGGAAGGAGCTCGTCGCTCTACATGTTGAGGATCAGGAGGGACAAGAGTTGAGGATCAGGGGAAACCGCGGTGGATATGTCGCGGAGGGGTACAGTCTAAGCGTATTCTTCAATGGGAGAGAAAGCTCCAAACACGATGTTGTCAGCCAGCCCACCCACCCACCGACCTACCGTGTCTGGAGGATAGAAGTGGTCTCCAGTGGTGGCGTCTATCACCCAGGCTTCTTTGAGCGCAAACCGCCACTCAATGGCGTCCATGGTGGCGAAAGGAAGCGTGGGGCCATGCCTGCTGCGCATCTCCCGAGGTGATATCTCGCTGTTTGCACAAAGCATCAAGATGACAAAGACAGTTGTGCGGCGGCTGACCCAAGACTGTTCATCGGATAGGCCCCCGACAATGGACTTGATGAGATACACCTAGCTTCTCGTGTGAGACCTAGTCTGCGAGGACGCACCCGGAGTCTTCAAAATACCATTCCGGGAGAGGGGGCGCATCCTGTTGCAGTTTGTTTTTGTGGGGGAGCGGGCAGCACAGCAGAATATGTGCTCGAGGCAACAGAAGAACCATCAGGAGTCATCGACATTGCACAACACGCTGGTGGGAAGACAGAAGATAGGGGCACCGCGAATTGGTGCAGTGACACCCGGACATATATCCCATAGGTTGTACGTCTACGGAGGCAACTACAGTAGTTTGGAGCAAGTAATGCCAAGGGGAGGGGGTGCGGTTGACGTTGACATATGCTTGGTCTACCGGCTCTTGGAGCCAACCGAAACGCTGACTACGTCGCTGTCCACTGTCGACCTGTAGCACTGCGTTTCTTGCAGCTGCTATTCCTCGACACGCAGCTGGAAATGCCAAGGTGCGGCGGCTGCTGCAAGTCTTATGGAGGGCGTAAGCACGGCGGTGGAGGGTGTCGCCAAGAATTCGAAATATCAAGTGCATGGTTCATGTCTCTCTGGCGTACGAGTCTGATGATGCGCTAACCGTTGCATCGGGAACTGCCCGGATATCGCTAGCACCAGTACAGCATAAACTGGTGGGAGCGGGGACTGTGTCTGCGATACACAAAAAAGTGTGGCTTAGCTTACAGCCTCTTGAAAACGAACTTCGACGCCGTGGAGCAGGTCAAAGCCGCGCCTTGGCGGGGGAAGGGTTATCGCCGACGTTTCGCTTTTCCGTGCACCGGAGCCCTTTCTGTGGTGAAATCGTCCATAGTTACAGCCTGTCCGACTTAGATAAGCCTACTCGTTACAATGTCTCCGCCTACCCCAACATTACCCAAACGCGGGTGCACACCTATCTTCCCGGCGGCCCTCTTGTTGTTGACCGAGCATTTTCCACAGCCCGATTCCATCGCCGGGCCTAACGACTCTCACGTCCACCCCCTTCTTGTCTGATGGATGGTCTCTAACCACGAGGGATCTTGTGCCGAAACAATCGTGGAGTCGAAGCATCCGGGTATGCGAGGAATCACCCGCCCCAGGCCCCCCCGAAGAGTGAGGAATGTACAGAACCGGAGGGGACTTAAGCGATACAATTATTTCAGAGAGTACGTCAATCGGATGAAAAATGGAGTTCAACAGAGGAGAACGACTTTGCGCTTCATCTCGAGCTCACGGCCAACGACCTGAGGGTCTGTCAGGTAATCGGCACGAGTGTGACTCTCTACCGTGTTCAAGAATATCGAATGTATCGATAATCTCATCCAGCGCAGACTCTTCCCTCTTCCCTTTTTCGAAACAGCTGGGAGTACAACATTCTGGGCGGATTCTTCCGTGCCCACTCCAACGACCGGCAGATAGTGTTCCGAGAACTAAGACCGGAAGGAATTGGTAAGAAAGTCTCTAGGTCTGCACATCGGTTCAGTTTACGGTGGCAATGCGGTTCTTGCTGACTTCATTATCCATACGAACGCCATGATGGCTTCTGCCGCAGAACATGAAGCTTGTCATCCTCCCACCCAAGATTTTCATCTGAACATCGAGCCTCAATCGCGCGACGATGCATTCCGTAACTATGTAGGTTCACTTGCATCGAGCGAAAGCTTGTATCGAAGATTCCGTACCTCTTGCAGGTGAAGACCTCAGGGTTCGAAATGTACCGTACCCCGTTGGCGCAGGCTATCTACTGTGCATTACAAGCCCCGTCAAGACCGGCGCCCAGCCTTGCCGTTGCCACCTCGAAGCTTTCCCAGCAACGTGGCTCGCCAACACCCTCATGATATCCACGGCAACTAGTTAAGGCCTCGCAAGAATGGATTTATTCTGAACTAGGACTAACCAGCCATTACGTACCTCACAGAACTACCCGGCCGCGTGCTCGCAATCCTTAGAAGTTCGAAGGCCACAGCCTTTTGGTAGGGCTTGGAGCAATCCAACGAGTATCTGCGTGCCGCCGGGGTCGACCAAACCAGCCGTTGGAAGAAACAGAAGCAAACAACAGGGCTTGTAGGATTGACAATGGCTCATGTCTCGGATGTGATACGGGGGGATAGGTCCATTTTATATAACACGTTTGGCGAAAAGTATATGATGATGAGCACGCAGTTGAACAATACATCCCCACGAATAGGCGCTGCACGTCTGGGACAGGTGGGGTTTGTCACTAATGCACGTCTGTATTGTGTGAAAATCAGACCAAGCCTGGGCAACATATACCCAGGAGGGCAGGCAGTGCTGCTTGCCCCAAGAATGCATCGACGATACGTGGGTTTGGGGTGGTGACATCAACTCACTTTCCTGTAGGAAAGACTGGGTCGAAGCAGTCCCCCACCCTCGCCCGGCTTTCTAGCATGCAGTTCTTCAGCCCTAGAGTCCGTGACAGCGTCCAGTAGTTCAGGCTTCGAACGAGGGTGCGACCCCCGTCAAAGCCGATGCTGTGGTGGCGACATCAAAATTGTCACAGCGATAGTTTGATGGTCATGCTGGCAGGGTTCACGTTTAAACACCGGCTTGTCCGGCGGGTGGGTGTGTGGCTGCAAGCGCACCAATCAAACAGGTCTCCGTTCCGCTCCTTCAAGTAAACGAACCAATTGACGGTGGTCGATGGGTGGTTGGCACGGCCATGTATCACAAGGAGGCAATCGCGCTGAGGGGTGCTGTACGCGAGTTTTCGGTGTTGAATGCGTATGGCTTGCAGGGCACCCAATCTACCGATGTTCGGCGTGAGGTAATGAAACCGGTTGCTGCCACACTTCCCCAAAGACGCCCTTGCCCCACCTCCATCATGCCTTACCTGTGCTTCCCGCAAGGGGGCTGAGTCCTTGCTAAACAGGTCTCTGAAAGGTTTCCTTGAAAAAATATTCTTCGTGCTCAAAGTATCGGAAAAGGCTCGTCAAAGGGACATATTGCACGGCACAATTACGCACGCACACACACGCACACACACAGTTTAGCCTCCGCCATGCTGCCCCCTCACGGGGTCCCAGTCCATGGCAGATAGAAGTGTTTTGTGTTTTCAACCGCACTAAGACTGAAGTCCTTTCATTGGTCAGCCGGTTAGCGCGGTCGATGCTAATAATAAAGACACACACACACACACACACCTGTTGCCGTCCAAGCGCAAAACTTCGAGGCGGTCATTGTTCTCCAGCGCCTGCGCGATGACGAGAGCGCCTCTCGGGGAGATCTCGTTGTAACTTAGGTCCAGGCACACCAGCCCATCGTTTACCTATCAGTTTCGAAGCGCGTCTTGTGTGAGCACGTCTCTACACTGCGCTTTAATTAGACAATCTACAGCCTATCGGCCTTGAGCCAGGGGAATCAGCATTTATTACGAGGCACATTGGTCCTTCCCACACCAAACAACCCGCAATGATGTACGACAATGGATGTACACTGTCCTCGTCTGTCTCAAAAGGATGCGAAATCACAGTGACAACCGACGACGGTTTTTATTTCGACGTAAATAGACCCATAATCTAAAACTTACAATCGCGGCCCAAGAACGCAACGTCTCACCGCCAAAGCCGTCCCTATGGCTTGCGCCCCCTCGCTTCCCAATGCGTTGTACGATACATCCAGGTATTCCAAGGTGTGGTTCTGAGCAAGTGCGCTGCCGAGCAGAATTCCACTCTATATTGGTATGCAGTAGAGGAGAAACGCCCGCACGTAGTCGGAGACTAAGGTTGGAATCGGTAATAATACGCGGTGCTTGCTTAGGACTAGGTTGGCCGACCTCTGTACATCGATAATTCCCAAACCATTTTCCATTTGCACCTTTCCTTCAACAAATGAAGGGCCACGTTTTTTTTTTAACGTACCAATCTTTTTTTATCTAAAAGCACGAGTCGAGCAGGTTTTTGTGCAGATCGGCGCTGTACGGGCACAGCTATGCACGTCGAACCTCTTCCGACACAGTTCGTGTTTGTGAAGCGAAGTAGTGCACCATCCATTCTTTACCTATCCCCTATTGCTAATTACGTACGTCGGTGTTGGTCCGATGGATTAGGGACGAAGAAGTTGCGCGGGGGATATTTTTCAATTGTGTGAAACCTTTCACCTTTGAGCCAAGAAGGTTCCACTGCAGATTGATTCGTCGAATCGTGGCGTTCACGCCGAGGGCGAGCGCTATGGAAGCACCGCCCGTGGTTGGACCGCCCGAAATCTGCGTCTTCTCGTATCCCCCTCCGATCGAGTTGTCGCTGAAGTCGAGGTGCCTCACAGAATGGTTGTGTTGCATCGCCTATGCAGTGAGCAATCGAATTCCGGGAGAGATAGCCGTTGCTCAACGAGCACCATGTGGAAGTAAGAGAATTACCGCTCCCACACGGCCCATCGAGCTCAACTCCATGCTTTTGCACCCTCACAAGGGCGTACTTGCTTGAGTTCAGGTGGCTGATTTTCATCATGAATACTAAATTCCAACATCGACGCCAGAAGGATGTTCACGGATAACGAGAAACGATCTCATGGCCTGTCACCGCGTGCAATAGATGCGCTGGCAAAGCGCATGGGAAAACTGTCGGACGAAACAACAACCTAGCGTCTTCTGTAGAGAGTGTTTTCTTTTGCGGTCGCAAGCAAACAATTGGCTGTGATTCTCAGTTCTGTTGTGTTTCGGAAGTAACAAATGGATTACGAATCGTTGCTGCTGTGCTGCACTGATTATATCTGTAATTGACGACTGAACGGCACCCTACTTGAACCTTTTTCCGCCCTTCAATAGATAATAATTTGTGCTGATTATTGTACCTCCATCACGATGGCAGTCTCTCCGTCGTCGATGTCGGCCTTGGCAAGCAGGATCTCTCTGAGGCAGCACGTAGGGCTCTTGAGGAAGGCACACAGAGATTGGGCCGAGACGGTGTCCAGCTTGTTTTCGGAGAGGTCCAGGACCTGCAGAAGGTTTTGTGTTGTTGCTGTGGTTGCTGTTCAAGTGTGCAGTTGGTCGTTAGGTCATGTGCCGCTTATTTCATGGCATCAGCATGGGAGAGGCTCGATAAACCGTCCATCAACTTGTCCATACCGGAATAGCAGAGGTAGCACCCCACTCTGAGAGGGCACCGAGCATTTCCGAGTCAAACGGCATGTTTGGGCCCTAGCCAGGACATCACTTCAGGAGCGCACACCCACCGGGAATGCACAGTCGAACAGGAGGGTTCATGAGCCGATCGGACGCATTGACAACTTCGATATTATCCCCACCACACACACCCTCATCCGGCGAGTTCTGCCCGGGCTACAGACAAACACACCGCCCTTGAGCCCGGACACGGCTTTACCTGAATCCCTCTGTGTCCATCCATGCCGCATATCGCCTCCACGATCTCCTGCACGCCGACGTCCGTGAGGCGGTTGTCCCGTAGGTTAAGACGTGTCACCCCCGGAAGGTCCTTGACCACCTCCGAGATGAGCTCGATGTAGGTGTTGCCGAGGGACTGATGCGGCAGGGACAGCTCGACTCCTCCCTCGACAGTCTCCGTCAACGCCATCGGAGTCGTCCGACTGTGCGTACACACGGTTGGGTTTTTGGGTCTTCGGGTCAGAGTGCGGGAACAGGCTAGATTTTAGGGGCGGGGAGAAACTTACGGACGACCTTGGGAGAGTAAGCGTGTGCGTGTGTGCGTGTGTGTGGGCACGCGCAATCGAGATAGAGAGGGAGAGAAAGAGAGGGGGGGGGGGGGGGGGGTGTACTCATAGTCGTGCATGCCGTAGTCGTTAGACCATTGACCTCGCATCCCTACAAAGCCGGGACGGAGCACGCCGGGTTCTCACCGGACCAGGCTCTCACATCACCAAGCGCGAAGCACCGTGAGGTATTCGGCGGGTCGCATGAAGGGTGAGCTGCATCCTGCTAAGGGTGTTCGGCATCTTGTGCTTACTTCCTTGCGTACGGATGACGGCTGCGTATGACTTAATTTATTTTCTGGTGCTTTCACTTCCAGAGACAGTTGTAAGCACTGTGTAGCTGCCTCGACGATGCTTGATCATTTTAACACAACGTGGTGCGATCATCCCCCTTGCGCGGAGTGAGGTTTCTCGACCCCGCACAACATGATCTACTCGACCACCATTATGGTTACCGCCAAAAAAAAAACCAGAGGTACAAAAAAAGACGGTAACCTGGTAGCCGAGTTCACGAGGTGAATTGGCTTGTTTTACAACGTCGTTGCCAAGCGACGAAAACCCAATCCCGATGGCAAACGCCGGGGGCGGCGGCTTGTTTTACAGCGTCGTTGCCAAGCGACGAAAACCCAACCCCGATGGCAAACACCGGGGGGGGGAGAGGGGGGGGGGGGGGGGACTCCTAATCCTGGATGCCCGAATCGTTTGGGCCTTGGCCCCCCATCCCCACAAAACCGGGGCGGAGCCCCCCCGGGTTTCCCCGGACCCGGGTCTCACATCACCCAACGCGAAACGCCCTGGGGGATTTTGGGAGGCCCATGAAGGGGGAGCCGCCTCCTGGT